TATATTACATGTCTAAGTTAATATACTAAAATTATCTAAGTCTAAGTTAATATAAATAAATTATAATAAAATATTATAATAGTTTTTTTTTTTTAATATAACAGGCAATGTCTTAGCAAGTAGTACTAGTTGGATCGAAATGTTTGAGAATCACTGTAAAGTAGGTAAGTGTTCAACAGGCTATAAATATCGAATTAGGCCGGCCACACACATTCGGAATTCCGTCAAGGACCTATCACACACGATTAGAATTGACATTGGGGAATCCCCAATGTACGACGCCCAAATTTTATAAGCATTGCCATAAATGGAGTGATGGATACTCTTGCCCCGGCGGTTATAACCGCCGGGGCAAGAGTATATATATTATATTTTATTGTAGTAAAACCTTTGCTACAAACTAAAAACGAATTAGCAAAACAAAAATAATTTTACGAAATTTTATTGGGTTTAAAAATACCTTCTTAATTCCCGATGTTTCAGGCTCTTCACATCACCCATGGTCACGGGAAGACGTCCTGGTGTAACTCCTCTAACATCCTGAGCACATACTAGAGGATACGTCCTAAGTTAACGAAGGCTACCTTCAACTTTTAAATATAAATATTTGGTCCGAACTACGCATAACGAGCTTACAGTATCTTGAAGTTTTATTCTTGGGCTTGAAGTTAATTTCTAATTGATTATGGGATACCAAATACCAAGCAGCCATCTCTTCTCTATTGAAATTAGGATGTTTTTTTAATTTCAATAACCTCACAAATCATACTAGGCAGGAATCGGTGTTCTTTTACGAGGATTTGTTGTTTATCAAATCTGATGTGAATGACGATCGAATCCACAACTTTTTGAGGTGAAATATTTGACAGATTCAATAGCGGGGGAAGTTAATTAGGTTGGAAAATGTAAGGATTATGTAAGGTTTTCTGAAATATTATTTACATATTATATTAATTAGACTAGAAATGGATAAACCTAACTGCGGCAATTCTCGAAGTAGAAAAATTAAAAAAAGAGTAAAAAAGTCGCAAGAAATTAAAGAGCAAACCACTGAGGCATTGTTTGGTGTATACAAGCTCTAGAAACCGGTAAACTCAAAACGCAATTTCTCAATTATAATGACCTTGTGTAATAAATAACTTCTCCCAACTAGCGACATCTTGTGAGCGTAAAATAATTAGCCCTCATTAGTGTTGCGTAATACTTACACCAGTTGTCGTTTATGCACTTAACATAATTTTACACGCACAATGCTTATCTTCTAGGATTCTATTTTTTTCGCAATATCTTCTAAGATTCTAATTATTTCGCAAAGAAAAACAGACGCGGAGGAATGATGGCAAGAAATAATAAATGCTGATTAATTTTATAAAAAACTATATATTGTATTTTAATCCTATTGATGTTATGTAGTGATCATTAAAATAAAATTAGACTTTTTTTATTACTATATCTTAACCAATATTTTAACACCAAATAAAACCTTATAATTAAAAATGCACATATCTTAATGAATATATATATATGTAATGAAAAGTCGGGTATATATCACTGAAAACAACAACTAATAAAATTAGTTTTGTTACTATTGGTAACAGGATTTTAACATAAACATCAATATTTTGTAATTATTTCAACAATAAGTGTCATATTATTATTTTCCGTTGACAACTTTTTTTAAATCAATATTAAAAAAAAAATAGATTTCAAATCACTAGTATCTAGAAAAATGTTGCTACAATCGTAACAGTCTTGGTGAAAAAGTATGTTATTTGTGGTATACCTGAAAAGCAAATATGTTGATATTATCATTATAAGCGAATATTTTATGTTTGAATTACTATTTATAACTGTATCGGAACATAAATAAACACATAAATTGATATGCTGGCCTGCGATATTTGAATAATTGCATTTGTTTTGTATTGTATATTCCATTATCGCCATCATTACAACCTTTCACAAATCCGCAGCTGAACATAGGCCTCCCTAAGAATGCCACAAAACATGGATTGAGACACCTACATCCATCGTTAGCACAAGAGGGTTCGCAAAGTTGACTTTTTACTATTGATAAACACTAATAGAAAACTACAAAAACGACAATAAATATACAATATTTGACCTGCTCAAAGTTCAAAAACTTTATTAAACTAAGTTTGTATAAAAAGGGTTATTATAATATTAAAGAATTTATGGATGATAATAACCCCTGGAAATGAGGTGATTGCTACCAAGCTATTTCTAATTTGTTGTGTTGTTAATTTGTGTAACATACACAATTGTAAGCTGTTATGTTAAAAAAAGTCCCGCTGGGTTTCTTGCTGGTTCTTCCCAGGACTGAGGTTTTTTTTTCCGAACCAGTGGTAATTAAACAAAAGAGTGACTTTCAATAAGTATTATTTATAATCTATATTGAATAAAAAAGTTTCTGTTTCTGACATTAGATCTCTATTTTAGTCATGTGACATAACGTTCATTCATTTCCTGTTCCTGTCCTTCAATCCACTATCCTCGCCAAAATTTTGTGAGGGAATTGTGACAATTAGTTGTTAAAGAAAAGTGATTTGTGAACACTTAAGGAGCTAAAATCCTGTTTACAGCAGACACTTCAAAAGGAGAAGGTTCTCAATTGAACTGTATGTTAACTTTTTTTTGTATATGTATGTTACTCGTATCTTTTAATGATTTCTTTTTTATTAAATAGGCCATTTTATCCGTCGCAATGATGGAGAATTTTATAATAATATAAAATATAAACAAATTTTATTCCTAATAAATTACTGACAATAAGTAATGTAATATAACATCTGAGTCTCCATGTATGTAACAAGAAGTTCATGGACTTGAACCATGATTTCTTGATCGATGCCAAATTGCAATTTTAAGTGTAGATTTACCACGTGCTCGGCGGTAAAGGAAAACATCGTGAGGGCACCGGTATGTCCGCCAACACGCATTGAGGCAGCGCAGCAGACATTTCTTTGACCTTGATTCTTCTCGGAAATGAGAGGAGGCTTGTGTCCAGCAGTAACTTTATTTTTTAACTTTAGTAAGAGGGTTTGGTGACGATGTATGTTTGTGGGTAAGAGTAGATGGCGAAAATATGTGAATTTACTAAATGTTTACTATGAAACATGTCGTTTTTTAGTTTCAGATTGCCTGCCAGAAACGCTAACACAAAAAATCGAGCTGACCCATTCGTGCTACAACTAGACTACCAATATAGCTGCAGCATGGCTGTACCACGAAAGCCACGTAAGGTACGTGAAATAAGATTTTTGGTATTGTTCATACACACAGTACACTAAATAGGCATATTTACACTCTTCTACACTAAACACTTGTTTGAATAATCAAATTATTAGTTTTCGTAGGGATCAAACACAAAACGTATAAAGCTCTACGAGGGGCACACTGAAATGATCGGGAATATAACATTTCGGATTGAGTTACAATAAAACCTTTTTTAGAATTTGAATACTGGCCTCTTAGCAGAAAAATGAAAAATGTTGGTTAAAGTTGACACGTCGTTAACAGAAATGGAGATCACGCGTGAACATTTCCGTGCCATAATTTATCACAATTTTCGTAGCGGCTTATCTCAAGATAAATGTTTCAGCAAACTTGTTTCGATTTATGATGTTGAAGCACCAAGTCAAACGACAATATACCGCTGGTATGTCGAGTTCCGACGCGGTCGTGTGTCGCTCAGCACTGTTTCTACTGCAGGTCGACCAAGAACAGCGGTCACGCCTGAAAACATCGCAGCTGTGCGAACTATTATATTAGATGACCGTCATGTGACATACGAGCAGATTCGGGCTGTTATCAGTAACGGAGGGAAGTCAAATGCCGTTTATAATATCGTCTCGGGTGACGAATCATGGATTTATTCATACGAACCTGAAAGAAAACATCAGTCAGCAGTTTGGGTCTTCGAAGACAAGGTCGAACCAACGAAAGTGGTTCGCTCCCGCAGCGTGTCAAAGAAAATGGTCGCTACGTTTGTCTCGAAAAAGGGGCATGTTGTTACAACTCTTTTACAGGAACGCAGAACGGTTACCGCTGAGTGGTATATCAGGGTTTGTTTGCCAGAAATGATAGCCGAACTCCGAAAAAATAACCCGAAACGTCGCATCATCTTACATCACGATAATGCGAGCTCCCATACGGCTCGGAAGACAAATGATTTTTTGAAGTAGGAAAACGTTGAGCTGTTGAGCCATCCTCCGTACAGTCCTGACCTGAGCCCAAACGATTTCTTTACATTCCCTAGAATGAAAGATTTATTACAGCGGTTCCCGAAAGGTGGTCCGCGGAACCCTGGGGTTCCGTGGAAAGGCCGCAAGGGTTCCGTAAAAAATATTATCACACGTTTCGTGACCAACGTTGATCGCTCGCGCGCACCGACTTGTTTACGCACGAGATAGAGGCAGGGCGTGCGGGCGAAGTAGTACAGCGCCACAGATTACTAAATAGTGACAGCGCGCACAATGTCTCCATATGTAAATCGAGAGTTACCGTGTTGCAAGGGTAAAAATACCGTGTTTCTTGATAAAATTACGGTGGATTTACTAAAACTTTACCGTGTAAATTACCGTGTAACTTTTCTAAGAAAAATACAACATTATGAACCAAACCAAGTCCAAATATGTTTGCTTTTAATTAATTACTAATAAAATTTTAAAAAACCGGTAATTACCGTGTATATGGAGACACTGGCGCGCACAGCCCCCCACGCCCCGCGCGCCCGTGTTGCAGCGACGCGACGGCGCGGCGGGGCTGATTATACCGGTCTAGATCGCGATAAGAGCACACGTATTTCAATTATTGAATTAGTGAATAGCTGCAGTGAAAAAATACCTGTTGTTGGGTACCTATTGATCTGGAATTTTTTTACTGGTAAGTCACAATGTTTTTGTTTATTTGTAGACACATTTTCGAAATAAAATACGAGAGATATATTCACGTGTTATTTTTATTGTAGGTAGTTCAAAATGGAAAGTTGGCTCAAAACGGGGCGCCTCACAAGTGGCAAAAGGATTTCGGATTCTTCATTAAATTCAGAGCCACCAGCAGTGTGTATTGAAAATATTTCAGAAAATGTTCCTGGATCGTCGGTAAGAAAGTTATGCATAAGTTTTTTTTACAATTATTTGGGTAATTTACTGTGATACAAGTTATTTACTAAATTTACTAATTTTATTTATTGTCGATTATACGTATGGCTATGGTGGTTATCATTGTTTGTCAATTCTTTTCAGGGTTTGCTAAATACACAAGACCCTAGTGCCGGACTGAATATACAACATACAATCACCAAAAGAGTTGCAACCCAGGAGAAAACTTCTTCAAAAAAGAGAAGATACGACGAATCCTACTTGTCCTTTGGATTTGTTCCTGTGGGAATTACTGAGAACTCGGATGGACAATGTGTGATTTGCAACAAAATAATAAGTAATAGCTCACTGGTACCTGCAAAGCTTAAACGACATCTTGACACGAACCACCCAGAACTGAAAGATAAAAGCGTCAGCTTTTTTGAAAGACACAAAGAAGTGCGTAGAACTGGTGCAGCTGCTATACAAAAATTTGTAAAGACCGATAATGAAAATGCAACAGAGGCATCATTTCTGCTAAGTTACAAAATCGCTCGTGCTGGTAAACCACACACGATTGCAGAGGATTTAATAAAACCATGTATGACAGAAATTGTCACTTGTGTACTTGGAGAAGAAGCAGCAAAGAAAGTGTCAGCAGTGCAGTGTTCAAATAACGTCATTTCTGATCGAATTCATAAGATTTCTGACCATATTCAAGATGAATTAATTAGTAGATTGAAGACCAGCGAGATGTTTGCAATGCAACTGGACGAAAGTACAGATGTCGTCGGGTTATCAATACTGCTTGTTTTTGTGAGATATCCCTTTGGAGGATCTATTGAAGAGGATTTGTTTCTTTGTACTCCTTTAGAAACCAACACAACCGGAGAAGAAATTTTTAAAGTTATCGATAGTTACATGACTAAGCACCATATTGATTGGAACAAATGTATTGACGTGTGTAGTGATGGAGCGGCAGCTATGGTTGGCAAAATAAAAGGCACTGTAACAAGAATCAAGGAGGTTGCACCTAAATGTAGTAGCAGTCACTGCGTATTTCATCGCCATGCCCTTGTCGCAAAAAAAATGCAATACGAGCTCAAGACAGTTCTCGACCAAGCAGTACTAATTGTAAACTACGTTAAATCACGTCCACTCCAGTCGAGGCTTTTTAAAAGTGTGTGAGGATATAGGAAGTCAGCATCAATCACTTCTTCTTCACACGGAAGTAAGATGGCTTTCAAGAGGAAGAGTTCTATTAAGGCTGTTTGAATTGCACGACGAGCTTAAGATATTCTTTACCAAACAACCAGTTTCTGCACACGTTAATAAGCTTGTTGAACTGCTGCATGATGAGCAATGGTTGATGCAATTGGCTTATTTAGCTGATATATTCGATAAGCTCAACGTAATCTGCAAGGCATTACAGGGACGAGCTACAACAAAATTTACAGTAAATGATAAAATGTCTTCACTGAAAAACAAGCTTGCGTTCTGGATTGAATGTGTTGAAAAACATAATTACGAATGTTTCACAATATTAAATGACTTTCTAAAAGAAAATGAGCTGCGGGTATCTTCAGACGTGGAAAAGAATATACATGAGCATTTGACAAGCCTTACAAAATCTTTGCATGAGTATTTTCCGGAGCAGTTGCAGGACATGGACTGGGTGCAGAATCCGTTTGTAAATCACACCAAACCTTCGATGCTGTCGGTGTCAGAGTATGAGAATTTGATTGACATCAAATTTTCATCAACGCTAAAACAAAAGTATGAAGAAGGAACTTTTGATTTAAACGCCTTTTGGATTGGACTCAAAGATGAATACCCAGAAATTGTTAATAGAGCCATCACATTACTGTTACCGTTTGTGACGACTTACCGATGCGAGACTGGTTTTTCCGCATATGCTTACACCAAAAGCAAGTACAGAAATAGACTGGATGCAGCTCCAGATCTTCGCGTTCAACTGTCGGACATTAAGCCTAATTTTAATGCTATTTTAAGAAAATATGTAAAAAAATTTCATTCGTCACATTAAATTCACAAACGTGTTTTTATGAATTTAATGTGACGAATGAAATTTTTTGTACGTTTTATTACTCTATGTACCTACCTACATATTCACAGTAAATGTACAAAAATAATTTCATAAAAACTTAATTGTTTTTCATTTATACCTTTTTCAAGGTAGGCAAATTTCCATTTATCAAGGTAGGGTTCCGCTAGGAAAAGTATAATCAATTAGGGTTCCTTGGCAAAAAAAAATTGGGAACCCCTGATTTATTACGCAGTCAACGGCTTGAAGACCCCGAAGCAAAGTGCATTAAGTTGAACGGAGAATACTTCGAAAAACATTAAAATACAATTTAGCTATACCGTGCATGTGGTATTTCTTATTCCCGATCATTTCAGTGTGCCCCTCGTAGCCCTCAGAACATCAACTGGCCGAGACAGAGTTAACGAGTTTTGTTAACTAGCGGCGCGTACGTGAACTCGTCGATGAGAGGGACATACACATACACACCGCCGAGCCTTTTAGTAGTGTTCTGTCCTGTCATCGACTGCCTCGCTGATCTAGTTGTCGTAAACGCGGTTGCTAATCATAATGTCCCGGGTTCGGGGTTGAGCCAAAGTCAGTTATACTGAGTTTTACTGTCAAGAAATTCTCAGTAGCATCCCGGAGTCAGGAAGTTGGCGGTGTTTCAAGTATACTTTAACTAATCTTACGGGCGCTTTCCTTTTTTATGTAAACTTTTGCACGCCTCATAACGCCAAGCGTTATTAGGTAGTACTAGTAGTTTACTCTCGACATGACAAAGTCGAGCAATTTTGTGTTCTTAAAATGCCTTTATCATAACCAAATTGCACTTATACCATAATATGAGTAACCGTATATCAAGAAAACACTCTAATTAATCCATCTTATATTTTACAAAAAAAATCATTTTATAACGCCACTTTGAAAAAAAAACTTTTTAAAAAAATTACGTGAATATCCGGATGTTGATTTTGTATGTGGTCACGATAACAGCCGAAAAAAATGACGTATCGAGACCGGATTTTCATTAGCTTCAGAATTACATCAACTGGTTCCTTATTCTATGTCAATAGCCTAGTACGGGCAGTTTGTTAATAAAATGATTTTCAAGTTTTATAATAAAAAAATTATAACTTTTAATGCTATTAAAAATTTAAAGGCCCTTTTTTTCCTTTTTCTTAGCCCTTGATAGACAACGGACAAATGTACCATACGGCCTATATCGATTTTATACTTTGTGTAATCGATTTATTTTGGTAAACATTATTAATTTTTTACCTGTAGGTGACACTTAAAACTTAAGTGAGGAATACAATTTTTTACCTCAAAATTAAATGAAACACTCGTGAGGCGTGCAACTTTGGATTTTTCAAACTATTTTACCTTTTTTTTGTATTCGTAGTCTGAATGGCAAGTGTTTGCGTGTACAGCTTATTATTATCTATTTTGAGAATATTCAATGATACTATGTTCGTTATATTGTAATAGTTTTGAGATTTTTATTGCAATCATATAAAAAGTTAAAATCAGAAAGCATGAGGCCATCCTCATTTTTGCAGAACCACTACAATCATCATAAGATCATATTTTATACCGACAAAGTACTGTAGTCTGAATGTTTTTCCATGTAAAATGCCTTTACTATACAGAAGAAAATGTGATGGAGATACCGTTTAAAAAAAATTAACACACCTATACTTAACCGCTAGTCTTCATTGTTTGCTTCTTCAGGTGCTGGTGTATGCCAGGTTAGCCGCTCCTCATAGAACTGAATGACGACCTGCGGGCATCGCACATTGGCCTGCTTGGCCGGTACAAGATCTGCTTCATCTGTACCTTGCCACTTCATCAGGAACATCAGTTCACCACTGCTGTCCGTCGCGCCTATGAAACATGCTCATGTTATGATATAAGGTTAAGAATAAGTTTAGCAATATCCTATTTATATGTAAAAGTAAAAGAAAAAAGTACGGTAATATATTATACACTCAACCCTATGTAACACTTTCACCTATTTCTGCGTTAAGATGTGTATTCAATATTCATCAATACTAGATTTAAATCTCAAGTGGTGACAATGCACCTGTAGTTTTGTCTTCATATTTGATTGCAGTTAGTAACGTCTCTGACTTTATTGTTACAAAAAAAAATTGTTTATGGTTTCTACATCCAGTTCTTCCCCTCTCGATGCAGTTAATTTAGCCAACGAAATGTTGTTAAAATTGGTAAGAATTTAGCAGAAAATATTGTTAACATCCAATTGCAAAATTCTAATAATTTTCTGGATAGGAATAAAAGTAACCTGAGATCATTTGTGTTGTTAGAAACAGATGTAAAAGAAGTCCATGATACACTCACGAATCTTAAAACCAATAGTGTTCAGAGTTGGGACAGTAGCCCAACAAGTTTACTCGTTCAGGGTTGGGATAGTAGCCCAACAAGTTTCCTCATAGTTATTTTGATTGAGTTTATTCCTGTCATTACCCATCTTGAAAACCTCTGTTTTAATAATGGTATTTATCCAGAACTATTAAAGAAATCAAAAGTTACACCAGTCTATAAGGGTGGTGCTAAAGACTAGGTTAGTAGCAATTCGCCCGATTTCGGAAATTTTTTGGAATAGTTTTTCCATAAACAAAATATTATTAAATTATGTGGATAAATTCAATCTCATATTAAACTCTCAGTTCGGCTTTAGACGTGGAAATGAGTGTCTTACAGTCTTCTTGGGCCTAAAAAATCATTCGACACAGTCTCCAACCCCATACTTTTGAATAAAGTAGAGCTCATTGGTTTCAGTGGCACACTTTTAGAATTATTTAAAAGTTGTCTCTCAAATTGATTACAGAGTTAAAATAGCTTCATATGTTAGTAAATACTCTCTATATTCCGTTTGGCGTGCCGCATGGCAGTGTACTTGGACCTACCTTGTTTTTAGTTTACATAAATGAACTGTGTAATCTAAACTTTAAAGGAGCCCGCGTTTTTTCCTGCGCCGATGATACCGCAACAATATGGTCAGACACAAATTGGGAATCAGTACAGGGAGTAACTTGAGCTTGGTTTGACTAAAGTTGCATTTTGGCTCAAGTTTAATTTTCTCACTTTAAACGCTCAAAAAACAATCATATTTGCTTCACATTAACTAATAAAACTCAACCAGATACTCTTTTTGCCATAAAAATTCATACATGTGACATTACTAATGCTAATTTTCTATGCCCGACTATCGAAAAAGTAAATAAAAGTAAATATTTAGTAGTTGTTTTAGATTAGTGACTATCTTGGTTTGATCAGATAGAACTTGTAAGTGCGCGAATTAGAAAACTAAGCTGGCTCTTTTAACAGTTGAGATATGTATGAGATATGTCTAACCAACTACTTAAACAGATTTATATTTCCCTAATCCAATTCATTATTACTTATTGCATTCCTATCTAGGTTGCAGCAAAAAATAGCATTGTTTCTTTCCTTTGCGTTGCTTCAGATTGCTATTTTAAAAATTAGATACATAAATTCGTATTATATCAAAAGAAACTGAAAAGATTAGTTCTGTGTTAAACTTTTTTTGGTTTGCTCCTTAAATTATAATTACATACATATTACTCTAAAATTTGCACAGTTAATTTATTAATTGATTAAAATTAAATTATTAAATATTAGCAGAATTCTATCAAAAGAAGCCATGAATGAAAAGAAAAAATAGATGACATTAATTTGTTTGTCAACATCTTTCATATTGAAAATATTTTCTGAAATTAATTCAAATATATTTCATAGGTTTAGATTTTAATATTTATCATTGATTTTTGCTTTAATTTAGTTATTATCGGCTCAGAATACTTCATTTCCGTATGTAGGCATTTCCCCGTGAATACACAGTCATAATATCGTCGTAAATATACAGTAAAGATTTTTTGTGAGATGTTGACTCTGTATAAAATATTAATAATTGAAATTAAGTTAAGTGTTGTGCAAATAAAAACCACAAAATTCATCTGACCACTTACCGAAGGTTTCCTAAAATAGGAAAAGAAAGACTTATCTGACAACATTGTGGTAAGTCTATAAACATTTTGAATTTATTGACCGTTATTTGTAGGGATTATTACTACATTGACTCGAATTGTATCTATTCAGATCACGTATTTGGGCTGAGTTAAGTTTTCACCATGAGTTTTGCTGATTTAAATTTACTTAAATGTTCTGTGAAGAATAACTCTTTGACAATAACATGTGTTATACAGGGTTATTTTGCAATTACCGGCTAAATTTACAGAGAAGGTTCAGTATAAGTAATATAGGCAAACGTGTGGATTCACATTCAGGCAAACTTCTTCTATCAGAAGAATTGTGTAACATAGTAGATGCAGAAGAAGAACTTACTGAAAAAGTTTATCCGTCTATTGAACAGGATTATCTAAATACGACATGGTTGTGTGAATGAGCAATTTTAGCTACATAAAATGATGTAGTACACCAAATTAATGAAAGGATACAGAATATAATACCAGGAGATGAAAAACTGTATAAATCAATAGACACAATGATGAATCAAGACGAAAGTGTGTACTTTTCAACAGAATATTTAAATTCACTGAATCCACCTGGTATGCCTCCGCATGTATTGAAGCTAAAAATTGGATCACCAGTCATATTATTACGAAATCTTAATTCGTCAAAATTATGTAATGATACAAGATTATGTATAAAACAACTTCTTAACAACATTATCAAGGCATTATTTCTAACTGGCAAAGTAAAAGGAGAATCCGGTTTTATACCAAGAATTCCATTAATTTCAAATGATTTACCATTCTGTTTCAAACGGTTACAGTGTCGTCTACGATTGACTTATAGTATAATTATCAATAAGGCACAAGATGAAACGTTCCAATATTGTGGGGTGAATTTGGGAGAATCCTGGTTTTCACATGGTCAACTCTATGTAGCTTTTTATGTTAGCATGTTGGATAGAAAAAAAATATATACATGTATGCGCCAGAACACAAGACAGTAATTGTAGTGTATAAAAATGTATTGTGATATAAGTATTCAGTACATGACTATCTGTAAAGTATTTTTGTATAGTGAATAAAAAGATATGTAAGAAAAAGAAATTAAAAATTTAACAAGAAAATTCAAGATTACTTATTTAAAAAAAAAACTTATTTAATAAAATATACATCCATGAATAAATATTCAACAAAAAATAACCCAATGAAGCGGGTTTTCACAGCTAGTAAGTTTATAATAGAATAAGGCTATGGAAGTGTGGCGTTCTGGCACAATTATTTTAAATACTTAAAAGGAGGTCTCAACTATAATCACTGTAACAATTTACGTTGTATTTTTTACCAAATAAAAAATATATTTTCATTTTTTTATTTTTTACAGTTGAAAAGTACTAACCAATAATTTTTTCAGGCTCGAGACCCCGATCAAAGCCTGACGACTTTTTGTCATCGGTTTTAGTCTTCTTGGCCCCCTTTAGATCAGGAGTGGCTGCTGAAGACTTACGCTTTTTTGGATCCTTTTCAATTTTACTGCTTTTACCCTCTGAAAATATAACAAATAGTACCTTAAAAACTAACTATTGAACCTATACCAAACATCAACAAATTGTTATCAACATCAATAGGCAGTAACAGTTTCCAACTGGGTTTAACTTTTTTTCACATGGGGGGATATCTTTTACGGATATGTGATGGTGATCTACAGCTGTAGCAAAGGAGCAAGCATGCTATACCAAAATCATATCTGTTATCCTTTAATACCTAATAAAATTAAAACCATATTTGCCACCTCGAGACAAAAGTACTCGTCGCCTTGATGCACTAATCAAAGTATCTTGCAATACTCCAATTTCTGGTTTTAAATGGAATGGCTAACACGTCAGAGGCAATGAATAAGTCATTGTGGTTTACTATGCTTAATCAGAGGTAAAAATATAGGTTGACTCATTAGCAATCGGCCTGTGAGATCCCATCAGCAGTCAGGTCAACTGAACTGATAGTAAAAGACTGTTAGTAGTGCTTAGAGTAACACAACATCCTGCTCTTTATCTTGGCTTGCTTAAGCAGAACCTGTGTTAGTTTGAAACACAAGAAAGCGCGGCTTTGTTTGATTTTCTAGGCATGTTGGTGAAACAGTGCCAACTTCCTTATTTCAAATTACTACTGAAAATTTCTTCTTTGTATCTATTAACTGATTTTGGTCCAACCCAGGTTTCGAATCTAGGACCACATGCTCAGCAGTTGTGCTTACGACCACTAGACCAACAAGGCTGTAACAAAAATAAGGGCAATACCATTGACTGACTTAACATTGTCAGAATTCATTACAATGAGATTTTTGTAAATAAAAATTGGAAGTAGAATAACAACCAGCTTCTCTTTTTTTCCTGGCCTCCTCAAAGGCTTGAATAAGGTCAGGACAGTCAAGGTTTTCCTCTGGCTCCCATGTATTGTCTTCATCACTGTATCCCTTCCATTTCAAAAAATATTCCACCTAGAATAAAATAAATATTTTTTGGTTTTGCACTAAAGCTCTCTTAATTTTAAAAATGCAAACCAAATATTTTTTCTATAATGTATACCTTTCCATTCCTCACTCTTCGGTCTAAAACTTTCTCTACTGAAAATTCATCTTCCACCTCTGGCTCACCCGGTTTTTTTTCTGCCATCTATAATATGAAATAATGGGTTATAAGCCATCTCACAAAATTTAAGCAATTGAGTTTTGGAAAAAGCTGGCAGCATTGTGTATGTGTGTGTGAGTGTTGAGGTGAAACCGGCGAGAAAATACATGTACATCATGTGAGACATGGTTTAAAAAATGGTTATATTGCAAAGACAATCATTTAGTGCATTCTTGGTTTGGGATTGGATTATTATAAAACACAAACACATATATAGACATATTAGCTATTAGCTATAACTACTCTCCTATTACTACATAATAACATTAATTGCTTGAACTTGTGACAACTACAATTTTAAGAAGCCTAATTATATATCTATGGAAAATTACATTACATAAAAAGTAAAGTTACAGCTTTAAATGAAGGCTGTTGCTAGTCATACAATAATCATCATAATCAATATTCATCAAATAAAAATAGTTGTAAATTTCAACTTAAATAAATAAGACAAATCTAAAATAAACTAAGCTAGCTGCCACGTTATACAACAGTAAATGTTCCCGACATCAGCCCTAAGGATTTACACTTAGTTTTAATTTACTTTCTTGTAATAGAAAATTATACAAAAACAGATATTTTGTTTGTAAATAAGTGATTCTAAAACCGCAATTCATCGCAATTTTTATTTCTTGTAAAAATAAAAAATAATAGCAATTTCAGAATAGTTTCTCCTACATTATAAACAGTTTAGCAGAGAATGAAATATAACACTGTTGCAATATTATCGCAATAACAATGCTCGAAGCATTCAATTGGGATATTGGTAAGGAACAATGAAATACCGACATTATTTATTAAATTGATGTAAGAACTTCATATGTATTTGTTTTATGGTACAAATAAATAAAAAATTAATAAATAGGTAACAACTCACCTTTAATGCTTAGAACAGAAATAACACTCTTTATGATATGAATTTTAATAAAGTATATATTTTCAAGAATGTACTGTGAAGCGAATATAAGTTACCCCTATTATTATAAAACACAAACCACATAAAACTTTATGTTATCACAATTTCAAAAAATTTATAAATAAATGTGCTTGTGCAAAACTTGCGCGTGAGTCATAGACAAAAACTATATAGAAACACTACGCGTTGCCATAGATAAATATATATGTAGCAAGCTAGCGTGAGCCAAAGACAAAGAGTATAGTAACCAAAGAGTATAGTAACTGTCCTATTAAGCGGGGAATTCACTTGATAGATCGGGAGATGGTGAGAAAATAGTCTCCCATTTTCTCCTGCATGCCTTTTTAAGAATTGATAAGTAACCCTAAAATATGAAAGATAGAGGGGTTACGAGCCATTGCGCGCTTGCACGTCATAAAGAAAATGGCTTCTCTTTGTGTAAAGAATTTTAGTATTTTTCCGTGACATTATATTGCATGCCTTTGTAATATAACGTAGTTGGAACAAATTTAAGCTATAATAATTGATGGCATGCAATTCGCAACGGCCAACGGGGTTTAAAGGGTTACGTAGAAATGAAAAAAAAATAGAACATTTCCATGTTTACAAATTGCATGCCGTTGTTAAAATTAGTTTTTTTTTTATCTCAAAAATACTCTACGAAAATTGGCATGCACCCCTCGTATGACCAAGGGTGGAAAATATTAGGAAAATGTTGTGAAAATTCAATACAACTTTTCGTTATTTCAAACTGCATGCCATTTGAACAATACTTAATTTTTATAATTTATTGACGTTAGCAAATTTGGTATGCACAACAGCAACTTGTAAAGTAGTGGCATGCATGACGAAAATTGCAAAAAACGCTGTTATAAATTCCGTGACTTTATTTTGCAAATTGTTGTGTTTACAAATTGCATGCCCTTGTAAAAAATTTGTTTAGGACTTCAACCAATCAAAAAAAAATAATTGTAGATAGGTATAGGAACAAAACAAAAAAGAATTTTAAAAAAAAAAACCAAGTACTCCGGTTACTTAAATAAAAAATGAATTTGAAATCTTTTAAATACGCAACAATCTAGAATCTGTCATAAGCCTGTGTAAAGTATGAATGGACGATTAATTACTATTCATTACCTTGACGTATCGGGATCGGCTGTACGTAAAGACTAAGACAGGACGTAAGCCACAGAATAAATAATAGTGCTACGTATAGAAGTTGCACTCTTTTGATTTTGACTGCTTGCCGACGTTTTAATAGCCTACATAGTTATTATTAATCAGATAAATCGCGCACGCAAGCTAAATAAAACTTTATCGCTGCACGCAAGTGATCCGTATTACTTTGCATCTTTTCTCCTTACTACGTCAGAACGGAATTTCCGTGGTTGCTAAGGGCTGTTAATCTACGCTTTTACCCTATATCAAATCGTACCTATGTTTTGGATATGAATAAATACATAAATACAATATATCTATAAATCTATATTCCATATATATATATATTGTATCTATATATTTCAATATCTATATATTTGATAATATCTTTTCTATAGATATATTAATAATAATAATAATAATTAATAATAATAATTTATTTTATTTTCTCACCACAATACAGAATTATTGTACATAATATTATAGTATAGCCTCAATAATATACTGTGGGAGACTGGTGCCTAAGCTAGGCTTTACGCCTGTATTTCAGGACGCCAGATCTCCGCCCTATGGTTCTAATTACAATACTTTTATTATGCACTCGTACATGTACCATATTTATAATTTACATAATATCTCCTTTCATTTACTTAGGATTCTACATATATTAACTAGTATTAGTGTGTGTGTGTGTGTGTGTGTGTGTGTGTGTGTGTGTGTGTGTGTGTGTGGGTGTGTGGGTGTGTGTGTGGGTGTGTGTGTGTGTGTGTGTGTGCATGCTTTTGTTTGTTAGTTTGTGACTGGGTTAGTAATTAACTTTTATTAGATTAGTAATTAGATAGAATTAGTAAGTAGTTGTTCAGTGTCATAATAATTTAGTTCTTGGAGCCAGATAGTTATTTTCTTTTTGCATATAGTTTTGTTAAGGTTAAATATAGGGATAATTTTATTGATTTTATTGTATAAGAAACCTCCAATGTGACAAAAGAAACGTTTAGATAATTTGGTGGATAGAGTTATATGATAGCGGTCCACGGGGTTAAAACGCCTTTTATCTCGGGAGTGTGAGGGGTTGTATTTTAATAAAGCATGTTGTTTTAGTAAGGTACTTTGTATAAACAATTGCCGCACAGTTAAAATTTTCAACTCTTATATATGATAGCGATACGGCAGTGAAAAAGAGAACTTTAAGATGGCTCTCTGCGTTCTCTCCAATTGAAGCATTTTAGTTTTTGGAGCACCGCCCCAGGAGGTAATACCATATGTTAACAGAGATTGGGCCAAGGCGAAGTAGACGGATTTCTTTAGTTTCTCGTCAGCCACATCTCTCAGAGTTTTAAAAACATATATAAGTTTACGCAACCTGCTATTAAGGGTATTAATGTGTTCATGAAAACGTAGAGTGCTATCAATTATTACTCCTAGATATTTTACTTTTTCAGCTTGACATAGTTTGATGCAGGTATCCGCGTTATTAAGTGAGTTGGAACATGAGTGACTTACGATAGAGTATGGTGGTGATAATGTTGTTAATGTGTTATTTTTTAATCTAAATGCAACATAACATGTTTTATCTATGTTGAGTGTCAGCACATTACTTCGGAGCCAGTTAGAGACTATGTTGTAGCCCAGCTGGGCGTACGTATAGACATCTTGCCATGAACCTGCGTTAAATAGGAGGACGGTATCATCCGCATAACTTATTATCCGCCCTTTAGGAAGAGTGAGCATACTCATTTCATTAATATATATTAGAAATAAGGTTGGAGAGAGTTCACTGCCCTGAGGCGTACCATAGGTAATTGTGCGTTCAGTACTGATGAATTTATCCACCTGAACGCACTGAGTACGTCCACTCAAGTAGTCTTCAAAAAGTTGCAGTTGTATACCTCTAATTCCCAAACTCTCCATCTTACGTAAAAGTATGGGTACAGAAACCGTGTCGAAAGCTTTGGCGAGATCTAGAAATATGCCAAGAACCTTCTGTCCATTGTCCAAGTTTGTAACAATATAATTAGTAAGGTCATGAATCGCATCCGAGGTAGATTTACCTGACCTAAAACCATATTGTGAGGGCGAAAGAAAGTTATGTTTTTCCAAGTAGTTTACGAGCCTGTTGTTTATTATGCGTTCGAGTATTTTGGACAAGGCAGGCAGCACAGCTATAGGTCTATAATTATTGACATGGTCTCTGTCCCCACCCTTATAAATCGGGTGTATGATCGATTTTTTAAAAGCTTTAGGAAATTTTCCGGTTGTGAGAGCCAGATTGCAGATATATGTCAGGGGTGGGACAACTACATTAATATGCCTTTTAAGGAGATTAGAGGGTATTCCATCCCAACCCACAGCACAGTCATTACGGAGAGATAATATTAATCTTGCAACCTCGTCCTCATCCGTTGGTAACAATACCGTGGAGTGCGAGTTGATGTTATTGTTGTAGTTAAAAGCTTTTTTTATTGACTCTGTAAGTCCATCCGATATCTTTTCCGCGAGATTTTTACCTATATTAGCGAAAAATTCATTAACTGCATATTGCAACTGCATATATATTAACATATTGTATTTATGTAATCTAAGTATTCTTAAAGTATCTCATAAAATAAAAAGTTTAGTATATATATCAATAGGATTTAGCCTGCGAGATAATGAAATAATCTATTGTACGTACCACCTTGAGAGTTAATCAAGTTTTCTGCCGACTTCCAAAAAGGAGCCGGTACTCAATTCGACTGTATGTTTTTTTTTTCGTTTTTTTTTTTATGTGTGTTACCTCAGAACTTTTTTCTGGGTGTACCGATTTCGATGATTCTTTTTTTATTTGAAAGCTGGTACTTCTCGTGTGGTCCCATATGAATTTGATCAAGGTCAGACCAATAGTTTTTAAGTTATTCTTAAATAACTTATATTGAAGTCGGCTGTACAAAATTTTTAATTTTAAATTATTTTCGATAAAATCATTTTACGTATAGAATGAAGTAGATGTCGCTATTACAAAGTATTTGTTTACTCGTTTACTCCAAATAATATATTCTTTTAATTTATTACACTTAAATCTAAAAGACTCTACATGTCTAAACATAAGGATTGTGACACTTATTTGCTATAAAATGAAACTATTATATTTTATACTACACTTGTAGTTGAAAATTATCATGTTTTAAAAGACTTTGAAGGTCGGGGTGTATTTTGTGTTGGTTGTTTCAGTACTGGTTATGGTTAGTGGTTATACCCCTACGCCAAAGGAAATTAGCCCATATCTATAAAGCGAGTATAGTTTTTCAGAATCGGTAAAAGAAACTTTCCTTCATACTTTCCTCAGTTTTAATTTACATACCAAATATAATATTCTATTAAATACACAATAAGATCTAAAATCGTTGATTTTGAAAACAGTGCTACACAAAAAAATATTAATAAAATACTACTTAGACTGGATATTGAAAGTGATGTGTTCTGTAATAAATCGTATGTTACTACTTACTACTAATAAGGATTAATATTAATAATGTAAGGCGTAAGCGTATCACCTTTTCGTTGTAAAGTAGTTGTAATATCTGCTTTTTACCCATAAAGCAATTATACAAAGAGGAGGTGTTGTAATTATATTTCACTATGTAACAATGCCTGTCATTTTGCGGTGTGAGGGGATGTTTAGCTCCACCCACTTTACTATCTACATCTACCGATAAATAGTAAAACTACTCGAATCGTTTCATATCGATGTTGCAATGTAGTTTAGCTATCTTGACGATAGATGGCGACCTGTTCACAAAATGATTATAAAAACTATAAAAATAATATTTTGGCGATTAAAAATTCTTTAGGACTGAATACAAAACAAATTTCAGCACCTTCGTATGATTATTTTACCAATACTGAGCTCTACGTACCTTTATATTTTTAGTTCACATGACACAAAG